AGCAGCTCCTCCCCCTCCTTCTCCACTGACCTTGGTGTCCGCATCCCTCACATATTCTCAGCCTCATCCTTTCACAAAACAACTGTGGTCTACCACCTTTGTTTTGATTTCTTCTTAAATATGTTTTCACAGAGGCGTAACCACCATCTCCAATTGGCCCAGGTTTRGTCAGTGGCATGTCCATCATCCTCAGAGCCAACAGCAATTGGCTCTGCTGGACATGGTGGAAGCCTCCAGAAGCCTCTCACAGGAGCCATCTTTTTGCCTCCCCCCCACTTCCAAAAACTGGACCAAGCAAAACCTACACACATGGCAAAAAGCAAATACCATAAATACCTTTGAAAGCTTTCTTTGATCACATTGTTGCAGATAAACTGCTGACAGTTTAAAACAGCGAGTATTTATCTTGGTGCTGACACACTGAATAAATACCACCACAATATGCAAAATACTGGCAATTTAACARCATCTTTTCCATCAAAATCATCCTGGGTGTCAGGTAAACACAGTCTAAAGCGTGATTTACTGAGCATCTCAGTCTGCCTGATTAGACATTAGATTTGAATTTTGGTAGGTGAGGATGATGGCAGGTCCAACTTCAAACTGGGTGATATCACCGTTAGTATTTTCCAAACMCTAGGTCCTGCATCAATGTTAGTTTTGTCAGGTGTGAACGGCAATGGAATCCTGGGGTAGCTGACTTTAAAATGAGATAAAACAAACACTGTGTTCTTCAAATTGAAAATTTTTGTAAGRACAAGTATGACAGTAAGTCTGGATGGCACTGGACTGATGAAAAATAATACATCCTGCCCCACTTTGTAATAATTTTTATCAGCTTTTACCACTGGAAAGAACAACAGACAAAGTAAGAAAAGCTCAAGGCTAGCATATATTTTTTTTTAATTTATTTATTTTAATTACCATGGAAAAGTTCCAGGAAAAGTATAACTTACCAAGGAGCACATGGTATCTCAAACAATAATGCCTCATTCTCCACCCTGCTGACAAGGTTTTCTCAAACTGCAGAATTTTAAGTACTGCCCAAAGCAGCACCCAYCTTATTATTTTTCATTAAGAAATTACTTCAAATTGTAAATGACCACCATTCATTAAAATATATTTTTCTTCAGCTTAAGTACATTTCTGAATGATGTCAAGTGAGGCAGTAAGGAACTGTTAACTGCTGAAAAAATATAAATAGAAAATAAAAGCAATTTAAGAATCTTCTTCCATAAGCACATCCTCTTGTAGCTTCTGCACCATTTTGTCCTCCAGCTGTTTCGGTGTGCCTTCRAAAAATAAAAAATAAAAAAATTCAACATGTTTCTCTAAACCCAAATAACTGTTTTTCTTCAAACAATGTATATGTCTATTCTAGGTGAAACAGCCTAAATATATTGCTTGAATATGTTTATGAGCAAACCCATCAAACTCAAAGGTATTTACTGCTAACCTTCATCACCTTCTAATACTACTGAAGAACTGTCTTAGCAGAAAAGCTGATGCTTTTATATGCAAAATCCAAAATGCAGTCAAACGTGTATTGGTTAACAAACACACAGCTCATRGAGCACCAGATACTGAGTGCAATTTAAAACACTCAAAAAAAGGAAGAAAAAGGATGAATGCARGACTAGATAAATAAAAAGGTATGTTTGATTCAGAACAGAAACACTGCTTAAGATTTAGTGGCAAGAACTATTCTCCACATTCAACAGACATATTAACTGTAAGACAAATGTACAGGATTACTGATCTGTAGCATGAGTCATTCATCCTGAAACTCTGTAGGCAAACCAGTAAAGCAAGTACTYACGTGCATGGGGAGCACGAAGAAGGTGGATATTCTGTTTGACTTCTTTGATGTCTTCTGCCTTCTGCAACTCTTTGCTCTTCTTTAATCTGGAAAAGGGGAAAATTAGATTTTATTACCTTCAAAGAGATGCATCCTTTCATTTTAATGCATGGTATCTCTCGCTAAAGGAATATTTAGGCTGTAAATAACTATGATTATGAGGAAATAAAAGTAAAGTCTTTGAAAACCAATTCAAGAAAATACTGGATACAAAACCACCCAAAAATGCAGCAGTGTACCAACTCCTATTAGAAATTTCTTTAAATTTAAAACTACTACATTACTATTATACTCAAGTGTCCAAAAGCTACATTTCTTGGAGAGCCAGTAAGACAGAGTAGAGCTCACCAAAACCATATTCCCCCCATCACCGGGGTGACTGTGTATATACRAACCAAATAACCCTTTAAAACTTGATCATCCCATGTCTGGCAAGGCTGTCTAACACAGAGGTGCAAGGGCTCCCATCACACAAGTAACTCTCACCTGTTCATAATAAATGTGGCTTGGCGTTTTTGCTTTATCTCCTCCACTCTCTTCATTGCATCCACTGAAATAAAGCAGAAGTTGTTTTAAATGTGCTCAAATCCCTACAGCAGAAAATCCATGCTAYTTTTGCAAAGCAACTCTACCAGTACTCTGTAATATCTAAATACCAGAGAAAACTCCTGCACKGAATAGAGGAGGCTATTCCTTCTTCAAAGAGCAGGATGAGGGTATATTCTGTGTAGYAACTGCAATTACTTGCATTTTACAACTTATTTATGCTTTCACTTTTGTGCCCACACAAAATTTCTATAGTTAACCATCACTACAAAATACTACTTGAAAACAGATTCAAGTTACACCTTCTTTGTGGCACTCACAATAAAAGCAGTTCTCCCATTTTACAGCAATTGATTCTATGAAACAAACTGAACAATCAGAAACATAGAAACAACTGCATCAKTGCAAAAGGTTTACACTGGAAGCCTCTTAAAAAGCTGGAAAAACACTTTTTTGGTTTTGAAGGGGTTTGGAGACAGTAATTGATAACAAAGGACTTCTGGTCCTCATTTTCTAACCAGTTTCTGAAAAAAAAATGAACAAGTGAAACCCCACTCCTGTTCACATCTCAAACCTCCTCCACAGACTAAGAATTTAGTCATGATTCCAGTAATTTCAAACACAATCACTACAAGATGTCATTTTGAAAACACATTCACAATAAGTAAAAAAAAAATCATCTATTGGTTTGTTCCTGTAATGACTCACCAGTCTTGTTCCACAACTCTCTCTGGTATTTCACTGGCTCATTCCTACGTTTTTCAAATTCAAATGAATTATCCTGTACAAAGAAAATGTAAACATAAACTATATACAGAAGTATATTTACATCAATACATTCTTACTCTAGCACTCACTCATATAACTTCCTATTTTATGGGATTTTTCCCACCTTTCAGAAGCTCAGTTCCTAGACTTAAACAACCATTAGAGATAACTACCACAAGGAAATCAAGTGGAGTGTTTGACCTCAAAGTGCCAGGAGCCACAGTGATTTGCCTGAAGGGAATTATTTATCACAACACCTCCCTCACCTATTTTCTATTTAGCAAGACTACAGGAACAGAGAAAACCCAAGTGGAATAGGAAATACAGAGTAGAATAGGAAATACAGAGTAGATTAGACAGGTGGAAGGTGAAATTGAAAACCTGTAGAGCTGAAAGCATTTATTGCAGGACAAGAAAGTTCTAGTCAACAGCTTGTAATTCTGAAATAGTTAAAAGACCAGCCACTATCATTTTAAGAATACTGAAACAGTATAATTTGGAATGGTAAAGTATTTCAATTGATGACACTGTGGCATTTGGGGCAGCTGCCATCCCCCAACCATGTCCCCTCATTCCCAAGAGCTGAAGATAAAAACAGTTTCCTGATCTTTTTTTTTGCCAGGCACACTTAGCTTTACATCACTTTCATCTGAGGACTTCTCTGTGCCCAGAAGCTGGTTTTTATTGAGGTAAAGCTAAGCTACAGATGACTAAGTTCATATATTTGTTTTATTCTTAAAATACATTTTGTATCTCAAAATTAAAACATACTATCACCTATTTAGACATGTATAAAGGAATTTTAAATTCAGTTATTTTAAAAAAAGGCAATTCAACACAGCCAGAAACAACTCGAAAGCAATAAACACAATTACTCAARATGCTAATTAATCATGGCTTTTAAGAATCACATTAAAAAGTAAAACCACATTCTTTCCCTTGAAAGATCCACAGAAGGCAGTAAATCACTGTGTCAAAACACTTACTAAATTTTTAATATTCTGTAAAAAAATAGGTAATTAAGTCACAGTAATTCTTGAATTATTTAAGGACTGTCCTACCAAATGTGAATGTTTAATACTTTTACCACTGATGCAACTTTGTTTTGAAATTCTATTTAAGGTCTCATGCTGTTTTTCAAACTTTCCTATCAATGCAAAAACTTTTCCTACTATTGTAAGCTTTAAAGACTCTTCACATGTAATATTTTAGGGGTTTATACAGAGAGACTTCCCCCAGTAACTTTATTTGACTGTGCAGAAACACAATTACCAATTGTATATGTGCAGAGAGCAGAAGATTTATTGGTGGGAAAAAAATGCCTTGGACTTGGGAGCCACCACGTGTTACCAACACAGACACCTGATCCTGTGGCTTCCATCCTCAACTGGGAAGACACAGGTGTTAATCAAGCTGAATGAGTAACTCACTCTGAAACAACTCTCACATTCTCCTTCACAACCCCTCTTTTCTGGAGCTCATCTAATTAAATGACAATGCTGTAGGCCACCTAACCCAGTCTGTCTCCCATGGGAAGAGCCATTTTAGTGTGCTAATGTAAAGAGTGAACCATTTTAGCTTCTTACCATTGTCAGTTCTTTGCCAGCTGCTTTACGGAATGCTTTAGTCCATCTCATCTTTCTGGGGTTTCGCTTCTTTTTAAAGTTTCTGTGGCATTTTGATTTGCAGAATCTAAATATCTTAAAGGGGGATGATAAAAAAGAAAAACCTTAAGTCGCATCATGCTATTCGTGCCCCACCACAAGTGTGATAGCAAATATTGAGGTTACTCCAACAATATTGCTCATTAGCAATTATATTGAAATTATATTCATCATTCAAATACTAATTTTTTATAGAGAAYGCAGCTATTAAAAATAATTTCAAGSAMTATTATTGTTTTTTCATTATAAAGTCATTTGCACAGCTGCCAGGGACAAGCACAACTATTTACAATTAAGCTGATTATAAATAAAATATACCTGAGTTGTGAGAATTGTCATCTGCAAAAATAACCATAAAACCAAACCTGCAGTATGAATAAACGATTTTCYATAGCTGCCACCACTTTTTAGATAYRGTACCATCCTGAGAACAGCAAAAAATCCTCACACSTCTCATACTGAATGCAATACACAAATAAAAACATCTCTTTTCAGGGATGTAGCCTTAAGCCCCACAGATTACCCTGCAGGGTTAAGCACATTAGTAAATTCCTGGACTGAATTTACTGAAAGCTGTTAAAGTGTATGCCAAAACGTTTCAATTGCCCTTTCTCTCTTTTCCCTATTTTTCTACACATTCTACAGAAAGCTAGATGCTTCACTTAAAAATGGTCAGAATTACGTGTTATTCATGACCTTTTGGAAACCCTGGTTTTCTACAGCCGTATTCTCCTTCCCATCTGATAGTCAATTCTAAAGAAAATTAATAGAATACATGGAACTTTTAATTAAGGAAATCATCTTCCAATTTTTTTTTTCTTTCACACTCTTCTACCACGTCTTCTCATCTCAGCTCAGGCACACCTGCCATTGCATTTTGCTTTTTCCCGGATTATCTGCTCACAGCTAACCTGCAGCTGCACTATCTCGTCTGAAAGCACRCACCTTGCGGCCGCTGTGAGCACACAGAGCCGTGTCAGTGCACATCCACCCCRAGCCCCCGGAGCTGTGACTCATGCGAGCAGCACGGCCAGCCCGAGATCTGTTCTGACGTGCGGGCACGGGGAGGAAGCGATTAGCGCAAGCTTCACTTCACACTGGGGTCTGCAACGCCCCGCAGCAACGAGACGGAGCGCGGCAGGGGCTGGAAAACTACACCCAACATTCTGTGTACAACCTGTCAGCACAGCGCAGAGCCCCTGGTGCCATGCGCGCCCTGTTGTGACAGCCTCAGCCGGGTGAGTCACATCACATCCCGCAGCCACAACTTGTCGCCGAGCCCCCCGAGGGACACGCGGACCATCAGCGCCCGCCTGCGGCCAGCACTGCTGAGAGCCGTGAGTACACCCGCTGCCACCTGAAGCCAAAACCGGRAAATTAAAGGATGAGGATTCTGTGCTGCTCTGCGAAGTGTATAACTTCTTACTAAAAACTGAAAACAAATAATTCAGCCTCCTACTCTTGCCAACAGCCACAGCAGCTGCCAAATCACTCCATCACTCCAAGTATATTTAAATATCACTAAGAYATGAATTTCGCAGATTCACAGAATAGTCTAAGTTGGAACGAACCCACGAGGATTACTGAGTCCARCTCTTAAGCAAATGGCTAGMASAGGGATCGAACCTACACCCTCGGTRYTCTCAGCACCGTGCTCTGACCARCTGCGCCCATGTCAGGCTCCCGTCCGCCCACACACCCGGGCGGTGCGTGCGGACCCGGCCCGGGACAGGAGCTCGGGCTGTGCGCTCCCCGCGTGAGGCGCGGCCGCTGACAGCAAACCCCCGCRGGGACCGCCGGCACAGGCCGGGCCGGCACGGGGAGCGGCCGTGAGCGCCGCGGGGAGAGCGGTGCCGGTGGGGCGGTACCTTACAGTCGTTGCGCACGAACATGACGCCGTGGCCCGGGTAGATGGGCCCCGAGCAGAAGTAGCACTTCTCGATGCGCATGGCGGCGGCGGCGGCGCGGGCGGAAGCGCGGCCCAGCTGACCGGAGG